TGTACTTTTATCCATCTGTACCGAATGTGGGATGGTCTCAAAAAGTAGTCTTAATATCTAGCGGCCTCTCGCGCAATGGACGTTTTTTCAAAAGAATGTTGCCGTCAACAGCGTGTGTTTGATTGTAGGAAAAAGAATATACAAGAGCGTGGGATGGTGTCAAAAGAATAAAGATAATCCAACCGCAGCTATAGTATTCTTTTTTTCAAAATAACCATCAGGTCAAAAATGCAAGAAATTATTTTTTTTAACTATAAAAAAATGATTATGGGCGGCTGTGGGCCCCCTAAACGGCGTGGCCCCCCCCCCCCCCCCGCATTGCGGGGTCTGGCGGCACTGTAGTTCCGCCCCTGATTTAGATTCTATATCAAGTCTGCTGTTTCTGCGTTTTAAGTCGAAATTTGGGAAGTAAAATATTTGGTCGACACTTGTCGAAAATGATGCAATCTAGCCAGTGTTAATCTGGACCATATCGATACTAAAAATAAATGTTGGTCTCTGTACTTAGAAACATGTACTACATTGGACTTTATCCACACACAAATATTCATACTTTAAAATATAAGTATAAAGGACAAGAATTCAAATATACAACTTTTTCTGGTCCTTTATTTAATTTAAAGTTTAGGCCCATTGTTCAAAGTAATCAAACCTATTGATGAATACTTAGGCCTAATTATAATCGAAACCGTCTAAAGTCTAAGAAAAACCATTTTTGCAGCAGACGATAGTTCTACTCCTTCGTCAAGTAGACCGGCGATAAGCAAATAGATCTAGAATCTAGATTCTAGATCTAAATAAGACAGATAGTGCCTCAGGTCTAGATCTAGACCCACTAGATAAAGATTCTAAACGTCTAGATCGAGATTTCAGGTCTACTCTAGACTCTACATCTTAATCTGTAGATCTATAATTTATAATCTATAGTGAACCTGTCTATGCAACTAAAAAAAAGTCATCTAAGCTCAAGAGCAGATTCTATATTTATTATTAATTATTATTATTAATATTATTAGATTAGTAGATCTATACTCTAGATATAGGCCTATAGTCTATAGATCTAGATATTTAGATCTAGATCTAGAGAAGGTCTAGATAATAACTATATCTAATACTAAATAGATCTAGAATCTAGTAGATATCTTACTATATCTACTAGATCGATCTAGAATCTAGATTTTCTAGACACTCTTTTATCTAGATCTAGATGTGTAGATCTAGGTCTAGATTTAGAACTAGATCTACCTACTAGATTTATAACTTGATGTAGGTATCTAGATCTAGATCTATATCTAGAATTTGAGTCTAGACTTAGAACTAGTCAAAATCTAGTTCTAGATCTAGATCTAGATCTAGATACTCTAGCTAGAATCTAACTCTAGACTTCTAGAGAGTAGAGAGAGACTAGATTTTAGTAGATCTAGATAATTGATAATATCTTACCTAGCAAGTTATTAATAATTCTAGATCTTTAGATAGTAGTAAACATCTTTGTTACTTTATAGTAAATTTTTAATCTAGATCTAGAATCTAGGTATAGAATCTAGATTCTAGATGTAGTAATGTATTGACTGAGTGTAAGTATTTTACCTTAAAAGTAAAAGTATGTAGATCTAGATCTAATTTAGGGCTATACACCAAGCAATGCCCTATAAATAAATAACGAATTGCCCCGGTCTAATACTAATACACACCCTACAACTTAATCATGGGTAGTATGCCTATATTTTAAATTAAGTATTTTAAATGTACGTTAGCTCGATTCTAGACCAGGTACATTTTCAGTATGGGCGGCCCGGGGGGGGGGGGGGGGGGGCGGAGGGGGCCCAGGCCCCGGGCATCCACATCAAGGGGGCATCCAACGGGGTAAAAAAAAAAAAATAATAATAATAATTTTTTTTTTTTTTTTAGGAAAGTTAAAAGTCTTCTTAGAATTGTCTACCTAGGCAGAATTATCAATTTGCCGAATTCACCGAAATGTGTATTTGCAATCAACAAAAGTCATTGGTGAAGGGTAGTGGTATAGTAGTCATTGATATTCCCCGATTAAATGTATACAGTCTTTCAATTAATAGAGCATCTGATACTTATTTAGGTATAGTGTAGGTAGGGGCATCTTTTAGAGAACATGCCCATAATCATTTTATACTCTTATGGTCATCCCATAGAGTATTAAAGCCCATGATTATATTTTATACACTGTAGGGGCATCTTTAATGTAATTTTGCTTATATTCATCATAATAGTTTTGAAGGGCATCCAAACAGTAATTATGCCCGCATTCATTTTATATATCGTCAGGGCATCTTTAAAGTAATTTACTTGTATTCACGTTTGTATTTATATAATTACAGCAATTATGCCCATATTCGTTTTATATATTATCGGATGATATTTATTTTGCTTATATTCATTATTGCATGTCTGAAGGGCATACATACAGTAATTATATGCCCATGTTCGTTTCATATATTATCGGAACATCTTTATTATATTTCTATTCATTGCATGATGTTTGTAGGGCTTCCATACAATAATTATGCCCATATTCATTTTGATGGACGTAACGGCATTCGTAGAGTGATTAAGCACATAACCTGTTTTTTTTTTATTGTGATAAAATTCTTTATAATATTCATGACCATATGGATTTTTGTTTTTTAAATATTGTAGGGATTAAATATAAACTTTAAAGTGCGTATTGTTTTGATACACTGGGCTGAGTTCAGTTCATTGTAAAGTTGTCCTGAAGTCTCACACGTCTTAATTACCGGCATTCACGGCCGCCCGGTAGTCCCGTCGAGAAACACAAAGGTGTAGCTGGCTGTCACTTTGTTCCCTCCCTCAATTTAGACAAACCTCCTATTGCACTCGAATCTGGAGACTGTTTTTTTTCCATCCGATAAGCATAAATTTAAATGCACAATCTGCGTGATCTTTTACCTTACCACACCAACTTTCACCCACCCCCAAGGCACTACTCATTATCTTAATTGGGGGCACATAATATAGACCCAGTTTTATTTCAACTAATAGTAGAGCCATCTGTAGAGTAATTGAGCCCAAATTGATATAATGAAATGTGGGGGTGGGTTCAGGCCGTGGTCAACATTAGTGGATTTCCCCCCACCTGAACTGGACAGAAGGCGTTACCGGGTTTTAAATTTGGCAATACAAGTCCAAGTTGTAGGGAGGGTCTGACATAGCGAAGTGAATGGTTAGACACGGGCCGATGTTTTAGAGTACCTAGCATCACATCTCCTTAAAGCATTGACCTTTTGACCGAGTGGTTTAGAGATTTTTAAAATCTGAAACATCTCTAGTTCAATGCACACTCTCACCTGTATTAGTTACACTATAGGAATTCCTAAACAGGCCAAGACAGAAACATCCCATAAATAAAGGCGTGTCTGACGCGACGCCCTAATTGTAGACACGGACGTTTTTGTACCCTCGGTGCCGAGCGGTAATACAAAACCGAATGAGACTCTTTTGTAGTGCATCACAGCCCCCCCTCCCCACCACGACACGTCAGGCAATTCTCTCCCCTCTCTCCCCCTCCCCCCAAGTTCCAACCATTCATTCCTTTTGGATTTAGCTGGGTGTAGTCAACGTTTTCATCTTAATTAAGATAAGTACAAATTTTTAAATAAATGCTTTTCTATGTGTATTAACGGATTGTAACTAAGCTATATATATATATATATATATATATATATATATGTATATATATATATATATATATATATATATATATATATATATATATATATATATATATATATATATATATATATATATATATATATACATATATATATATATATATATATATATATATATATATATATATATATATATATATATATATATATATATATATATATATATATATATATATATATATATATATATATATATATATATATATATATATATATATATATATATATATATATATATATATATATATATATATATGTATATGGGGGGGGGGCATCTTCCGCTTGATTTTGCCCCGGGCATCTACATAGGTCTGCACGCCACTGTATGGGCCCAAGATACATAAATTAAAAACAGTAGCCCTATCTATCTATTATATACTAAGCAATAGTAAGCAAATAAGCAAATCTAACAATCATAAGTCATATCTTACATTTCCTATACCCTGCACCTATTTTGCATTCTTAATTTACACACACTTAAAAAAGACTATAAATATTCTGGTGAATTTTTTTTTCTTACAGTTACTTGGGTAATGTTTGTTTTTACGTACATGCAATTTTCTTATGATTTCCCCAACTAATATACATCGTCTTCCATTTTACTGCTGATTATGTTTAGCACACATAATTTATTTAATATGATTTTTACAACATTTCTAAGGACATCTTGATAATCTTCATTGAAGAGATAAGGTCCTTAGTATTGTGCTTTTATGTAAGCCTACTTCTATCAAAAGGACATAATAATATACATTACATACATGACAGTGGCAAAAACGAGTGCTCTAAAAAGAAACCATAGAAACATTTGAAACATAAATTAAACTGTACCATGGGAAAAGACAATCTAAATTCTGTAATAGAATAAAGTGTAAATATACAAGATAGATTTAAACAAAACCCCTCAATTATTTAAGTACCTATAAAATTAAATTGCGAGATGATAATTTTGTTCATCTGAGGGGCTACTTTTAAAAATATTGAAATGCATATTTTAAAAGTGAATGTTTGATTATGCTAGACTGAGAGATAGGATCCAATCTTTTAATGTACTTATTAATGTATGCATAACACCTTTAGCAGACAATATAATTTAAACACTAGAATTAGGTTTTAGGCTGATACATTATAATTTACTGCAGTAATGTAAGTCACATAGATATGTTGTTATGATACTATAATGATTAGTCTCCTTATTTCATCCTGTTGAAGCATTATTTTGGTACTTTGCCTTCTTTATGAATTATTGAAAAAGCATTTAATGTAACTGTTTAATTTCAGATCATCCAGTTTTGGCAGCCGATTGTGTTCATTCAAGTGGTTTCCTCTCCTGACAAGAAGTTTTGTATTCAAGTCAAAATACAGCCATACCAAGCCTCCTTGCTTACACAGTAAATATTTATAGCTACACATGCCATGGGAAATTCCAACAAAAAGCCAAAATTGTCTACAGTTACAGGTAGTAAACGACTTCATGCTAAATAAATAAAGTGTTGTTATTTGATATAAACTAGATCTGATTAAATCCTGTATAAATATGTGATAATCTAGCAAAACAATGATATTATGTTGTGATTTTATGTCAACAGGTAGAGGAATCCTTTAATGTACATTATCAGAAATTGTTTTTTTGTTTATTTTTATGAGTTTGGGTTATTACATGTTCCTATAAGTAGATAATCTGACTAACACGTACTTTTGTTTTCAGATTTAGAACATATAGGTATTTAAAATCATATGTGAATTTTATAGCAGTATTTATCTGTTTTAGGCAGTTTAAATAATGTTGTTTCCCTTGTTCTGTAGGAAATCATGAAGCTGAGATGTGCTATGGAGGAGAAGCTGATCTACACAAACTTGTTGCTGGCTGTGAGAAGAATCCAGGTCACAAACGTTTTATACCTCTTAAAGATTTCAACATAAATTATCTCCCCTCACGTTACCAGGACGACCTTATGTTTGAGACAATCTTAATATTGGCAGCCCTAACTGTCCAGGTAAAGACTGAATTCACCAGTCTAGAGAGACCAGAGTTTTACCCAGACACTCAACTTCCATATCCATGTTATAATGACAGAGGACGTCACGTGATGAGGTTAGGGACGGGGAGGGTGTATGGTGTGTACAAAAACACAGAGAGTGACAAAACTTGTCGTTGTGCCAAGTGTCAAGTCTCTGCCACACCCAGCAAAGTGTGGGGGCAGGTGAATGTGTTGACAGCCACACACGTGGTGTTTGATGACAGTGAGGCGAGACAGACCAGGTGTGTTTTAGGTTTTGATGACAAGGAAAGTCCAGTGGTCAGTCTTGATGGCTGGGAGGTGGGTGTGGGTGCGGCAGACATTGAGGGAGACTGGTGTGAGTTGAGTTATGTGACATGTGACTTAAAGTTGGTTGATGAACTGGACAAGATGTTGCAGCGCTTTGTTGATCTATGTGGGGAAGTAAGGAACAAATACACGAGATTTGTTGATGTGGACAAGTTGACCGTTATAGTGTCACATCCTCATGGCTGTCCTAAACAGGTCTCTGTAGGAAAATGGACACACGAACATAAGAGGGATGGCTACTTCACCAGGTACTGGTACACAACATGTACATGTTCTGGCTCCAGTGGAGCGTATGTCTTCAGACTGGCATATGACAGAATGTGGTATGGCCATCCTCACAGTGGATGTGACTCTAAAGGAAATTATAGTGGGGACGTGTGTTAATGATGTAACTTTTAGTTCTCTCCCCTTGTCTACACAATGTAAACAAACAAAATGGCGGAACCTTTCCCGTCATTAAACTGATTGTGTTAAGCCTTGCATGTGATGTAAACATTTTATCACATTAAAATGATTAAAACAAATGTTTTGATTGATGTAAACCATTTAATCGAATTTATTTGCATGTACATTGATGGATTTTTTTTCCTAATATTTTAAATAATTTACTTACAACTTTTGTCGGCAAACTGTTGTCATAAACATGATAGGCTGGCTATTACCTGTAAATTAATTGTAACCATTATTCCATATGTCATATTCATACAGTTTACAAAATGTTCACACTAAACGACATTAAATGGTAAAAGAAAATATTCTTCTACTGTTGTTATTTTAATCTTTGCTGTCTGTTGATGTTTAAGTTGTTGTTAAACAGCGCATGTTGTGATGTCGGCAGGCTGTCATGTGTTGTAAGTTTACAACAAAGTCGATTTGTTTGTGCCCAATACACCTGTTAGACTAGTTTGAATGAGATAATTAGAAAAAGGTGGGATTTTAATCATTTAAAAATATCTGACACATTAAATGCTATATTTAGATATTCCGTCGCTTCTAGACCTGCTCCAAAAGAAATAAAAAGTAATATGATGCTGTCATTGGCTGATATTTGTGTAAACAATTTAAATGACTAGAAACAATCTGACTGTGATATTATAAAACAACTTTGAAAAAGTTGCTAGATTGGCAGTGATAAAACTACTAATGTGACTTTAAAACACTGAGTCAAAGTTTTCAAACATGAAATCTGTAAAGCAGGGCGTTAATTAGCAACTGGAGAAATGGGACGACAAGGTCGAGTAAAATAGTAAGTGCTTATACCTAAAGGTATGTCATGACATATACCTATAGGCCTGCTATTACCCGTAAATTTAATGAAGCCTACCATTATAAATGTCCATATTCATACTGTTTGTATTTTTTTACAAATTGTTCACACTAAACGACATTAAATGGTAAAAGAAAAAAGTTTCTTCTGTTATTTTAATGTCTTCTGTCTGTTGATGTTATCATGTGTACATTTTTGTTAAACACAGTCTGTTGTGATGTGGATCTTTGCGCCATGCTGTCATGAGTTGTAAGTTTAAACTTTAAAACAAAATGAAGTTGCTAATGCCTATACGCTGTTAAGGGCTAATGTGAATAAGAACATTTGAATTCTTAGAACATTAGATAGTGTAGTTTGATATTTCGTCTCTTATAGACCTGCTCCAATAGAAATGTAAAATGAGATTAGATTTTGTTGCTGTGATTGACTAATATTTGTCTAAACTTTTTTGCCATTCAAATTTACTAGACATCGTTGAACAAATTGATGGTGAACTTGTGAAAAACTTAAATAAAAGTTGATCGATCGGTATTGGTATAGCCTACAAAACTAGTATTACTTTAAAACAGTAAACATATCAAACTTTTAAAAAAGGAGAACTGTAAAACAGAATAGCAAATATTTACACAGTTGTTTCCCGTTTGATTTTAAAAATCACTAATCTTGTTTAATCAACTCGATAAACACCATTATTTATGTTATCACTAAATTCATGTAAATTATGTACTATCTCAACACCAAATCCATAACTAAGCTCTGTGGATGTAGAATTAAGTTCCCCTTCAAAAAACCGGAGGGTCTGTGACGCAAGTGAAGTAGAGTTCACCTCTTTCAATGACATCGTTCTGTGACATCGCATATGAAGGAATAGTGTGGTCAGCGCTATGCCCAGACGCCTTTACTTTCTCTAACGTCAGAGCTGGGTGGGCTCTGGGATGTTCTACTGATTTGAACCAGGATTCAAACTACAGACTTACGGGTTAGCAGTCTAGCTCTCTACTGCTACACCACTCAGTCCGATGAATGAGAAATACCAGATACGTTTGATATGTATGTTGGGCCGGAGTATCCAACAGCTCCTTGATTTCCCAAGGCGTTGGGCTGAATTTATATTCAAGCGAAAACTTAAGGGAATAGCTTACGTCCAGCATCCACAACCCAGTCATGTTCAGGCAAGCTCACCCTGTATTCCATGTGCATGAGCAATGGACTCTTTTAGGTGCTGTCAACCCAACTGGAATACGGGCCTTTTCATTTTTACTTATAAAGTATACCTCATTCAGATGCTAACTCATATAGTTGCCGTTGAAAACTTGCGATCTAGCGGTTTTATTTTGATGTTTTTCTTTCAAACCAAATGTGAATATTTTTATTAAATCTAATTTTTAAGTTATGAATTTTCTACTTTCGCTTTTGGTACCAAAACAAACACAAACGATGGGGGTATTGTTTTATTTTACGTTGTAAATAACACACATAAAAACAATACTCAAGTCATGGGTGTAACACCAACACATGAGCTCTACTTTCTCTGCCGAATTTACCATATGATATGCAAGTTAGCTACACTTTAGAGCTGCTGGACAACTTAAACATAACATGTAACACAATGTTTAACACAACTGTTACACCAATCCTACTTTGGTTACTTACGGTACAAACATTGATATATTTTCAGAATAGCATGCAGACGAATTAGGGATTATATAGGTTTCGTACGTTTACTCTCTATTAAATAATGTGATTAAACTTTGTAAAACAATAAAACAAGTGTACGAAATAAACGTTCTTTGACAAAATTAAGCGTTAGTGTGTTTTCTAAATTAGAATTAACAATGAAAATGATTGAATGACAAGTATTTACATAGTTGTGTCCCTAATTGAATATATTTCTTTTAACATTTTTGTATTTCACAACAATAACCATTATCGCGACATGTTGTTTTTAAGTTGAAACGTGTGTGTTTGATTTGTTTTTTTTTATACTGCCCGTTATAGAATAGTCATAACAAACTAAAGTATTTAAGTTCCTATACACACCATAAAGTCAATTAGAAGCGAAATTACATTTCTTTAGTTTTTGGTCTCGGTATTCAAATGGTTGTGTGGTCAGAACGTAACCAGATACACGAATCAACGGTCAAAGTTAGTACTGGAACCAAGGGATATAACTCGTGTCATGTGAACTAGTAAGACTGTTTTCTAACATGCCTTCCATACATGTAACTAGCAACTGTAAAACAATCCACCCAACAGCCTGAAATTTGAGAGTTTCAGTAGTGTGTCAACCGGGTCGTAATTTGTACAGTTTTTCTTCTCTATAGTTATGTTAACATCAACCGAATTTTATTATGTTATCTGATGGTATTTTAAGTTCAAACATTCAAATTTTATATCACAATAGACCTACATTTACCTTTACTAGAAATTCTTATTGTAACGTAGTTTAAATGTCTCTCAGTTCACCATATCCTAATAAACTGTGACACTCGATGACTTCTAAACTTAACCTAATGACATTTTAAAAAATCCTGGACGTAAAACAATCAAATAAAAATTGATTAGAGAACATCTAGTAACCAACAACGTCTTCCTGATACATGGGTAAAATCTGGTTCTTATCAATATGCTCCTCGGATCACTGGTTAACCATGGAAAATTTTAACTATTTTTTAATTAATGTAACTGACCACTATTGTCTCACTGTTCTATTCAGTTATGTCATTATTTCATCCTACGTTTTGTTTTGATCCAAATGTATCTGATGCTCAATACCATTTATTGACAACTGAATGTTTTTTTTATTTACAAATGTATGTGATCTATTTTTATCAAATTTTAATAACTTGACTTTAGACCGCGACAGCTAACTTTGATAAAATAAAATATGAGACCTTTGAGTTGTATAGTGCGTCATGATGTGAAAAAATATGAAATACAAAATTGTTATTTTGGTGCGAATGAATGTTGTTACGAGAGATATGACGAATGCATGTTTGATGACGTGGATGAAAGAGAGTGAAGTTTTGCCATAGGAACGGGTTGTTATGGTATGCAAGCTAGGTAGTTCGGACTAGGGAGAATGTGAAAGATACTTCGTGTAATGTCGATAGTTTTATGTTTATACGAGAATAGTAGTTGAATAATTATTGACCAAGAAAATAATAGGCATTGTGTAAAGTGATTATTGCCTGTATCGTGGTGATGGGAATGCAGATGGCAGTGGTACGCTTTAAATGGTAGTAGATCACTTGATCAAACACGACACTCTCACAGCAGCCCTAACAGTCATGTATAAATGTGTCATCTAGTCCATATGGTCTTTGTGCTAAATTTCTCTTTAGCACATTTTTCGTTGTGTTTTTTCTGGTTGCGCATTTTTCTGTTTCTGTTTGCGCTTTTTTCCGTTTGCGCTTTTTTCTGTTTGCGCTTTTTTCTGTGTGCGCTTTTTTCTGTTTGCGCTTTTTTCCGTTTGCGCTTTTTTCCGTGTGCGCTTTTTTCTTTTTGCGATTTTTTCCGTTTGCGCTTTTTTTTCTTTGCGCTTTTTTCCGTTTGCGCTTTTTTCTGTTTGCGCTTTTTTCTGTGTGCGCTTTTTTCTGTTTGCGCTTTTTTCCGTTTGCGCTTTTTTCTGTTTGCGCTTTTTTCCGTTTGCGCTTTTTTCCGTTTGCGCTTTTTTCCGTGTGCGCTTTTTTCTTTTTGCGATTTTTTCCGTTTGCGCTTTTTTCTCTTTGCGCTTTTTTCCGTTTGCGCTTTTTTCTGTTTGCGCTTTTTTCTGTGTGCGCTTTTTTCTCTTTGCGCTTTTTTCTGTTTGCGCTTTTTTCTCTTTGCGCTTTTTTCCGTTTGCGCTTTTTTCTGTGTGCGCATTTTTCTATTTGCGCTTTTTTCCGTTTGCGCTTTTTTCTGTTTGCGCTTTTTTCTGTGTGCGCTTTTTTCTGTTTGCGCTTTTTTCCGTTTGCGCTTTTTTCTGTTTGCGCTTTTTTCCGTTTGCGCTTTTTTCCGTTTGCGCTTTTTTCCGTGTGCGCTTTTTTCTTTTTGCGCTTTTTTCCGTTTGCGCTTTTTTCTCTTTGCGCTTTTTTCCGTTTGCGCTTTTTTCTCTTTGCGCTTTTTTCCGTTTGCGCTTTTTTCTGTTTGCGCTTTTTTCTGTGTGCACTTTTTTCTCTTTGCGCTTTTTTCTGTTTGCGCTTTTTTCTCTTTGCGCTTTTTTCCGTGTGCGCTTTTTTCTCTTTGCGCTTTTTTCCGTTTGCGCTTTTTTCTGTTTGCGCTTTTTTCTGTGTGCGCCTTTTTCTCTTTGCGCTTTTTTCCGTTTGCGCTTTTTTCTCTTTGCGCTTTTTTCTGTGTGCGCTTTTTTCTCTTTGCGCTTTTTTCCGTGTGCGCTTTTTTCCGTTGCGCTTTTTGTTTTGCGCTTTTTTCCGTTGCGCTTTTTTCCGTTGCGGTTCTTTCCGGCCACCCCGGAAATCGCTGAAAAGTTAAAACAGAACTACAAATTTCATATAATACTTATATATGAAATTTTATATATATATATATATATATATATATATATATATATATATATATATATATATATATATGTATATATATATATATATATGTATATATATATATATATATATATATATATATATATATATATATATATATATATATATATATTATATATACTTCTGACATATGTAGTGTTGGTCATATTATAGTCAGAGTGAGATACTCTCAAATGTTTGGAGGTAGAGATAGTTAATATTTAAGTGAAAAGAATGACAACATGTTATTGGTGGCTAAGTGGCACTTAAAGTGGTATAAAGGTATTGGTGTAAAATTAATGGGCATTGATATCTGCCTTTTAAAGTTGGTAAGCTCCCATGGCGAGACAAACGGTCTATTTCTTTTATAAATATAAGGACTGCGTCATTTAAATTAGATAACACAATTACACAGATGATAGTAACACATTCTTTAAAGTCCACACATACATTTGTAATGCTCTATGGAAGTGTTTTTGCAAAAAAATTACAACAAGTCGATAATATGTGTTTCACAGAGATGAAGAAAAAATTAAATTAGAAAAGTAAAGACCTGGCCTATATTCTCAAATGTCTTTTTCATATGCAAATAGACTTCTAACATGCTAAATTGTGTTTCATAGATAGGCATAAAACAATAATTATAATGCTGCACTCACATTAAAACTGAGTAATAACGGGAAAACCAAATTTAATCGGAAAGTTTTATTTTGAGCGCTGAAGCTAAAAATAGAATCACGTAGAACTGACAAGACGGCCATTTTAAAAACTCGCAGCTGAAGGTAGGGTAACACATTCTCTTTTACTTATTATTATTTCTTTTTTAGAATTTTAATGTATACCTTAGAAATTCTATTTGATAAATAATTCAATAAGTTAAGATAATATGTTACGTTGATTAATTATTTAATTTAATGAATTATAATAAACAAACATGGTGCATAGCAAATAAAAACTAACAATAGAAGTGTATAGCAATTAAAAATAAAATAATGTGTACCGAACAGATACTGTAACAAGTAAAGTGATAACAAATAGATACAGTAAAGAAAACAGTGCATGTTGAATATATACTTTAACAAGTACAGGGCATGTCAAATGAATAGTGTAACAAATAAAGTGCATAGCAAATAGATAATGTAATAAGTAAAGTATCTAGATCTAGTAATTATTAAAATTAGGCTAATTGCTAATGGCTAGTGTTTTAGAAATCCCAAAGTAAAAAAAAATAATTGGGAAATACGTTGCTAAAAATAACTCTCGGCGTGTGGCTTGCGGATGATAACACACTGCTCATTTGTTTTAAAATGTGTGACGTCAAGCAAATTAAAAATAGCATCCGCCTTTTTTCTTCGTTGGTTTCTGGAAAGTTATGTGTTAGGCCTAGATTACGTGTTACAGCGTTTCTTGTTTTTCACAATACCGTATTGCTCACTTCTCGGTTAATACATCTGTTTGTTTCTGTGTTAAACTGTTGATAAGTTCATTGATTTGTTTATGTTTATGTTTTCATTTATCCCACACACATAACACATTTATCCACCACACACCACACAAATGTCCACACACCTCACATTTGTACATTTGTCCTCCACACACCACACATTTGTACATTTGTCCTCCAAATACCACACATTTGTCCTCCACACACCACACATTTGTACATTTGTCCTCCACACACCACACATTTGTTCTCCACACACCACACATTTGTCCTCCACACACCACACATTTGTACATTTGTCCTCCACACACCACACATTTGTCCTCCACACACCACACATTTGTCCTCCACACACCACACATTTGTCCCCCACACACAACACATTTGTACATTTGTCCTCCACACACCACACATTTGTCCTCCACACACCACACATTTGTCCTCCACACACCACACATTTGTCCCCCACACACCACACATTGTCCTTCATACAGCACACACATGTCCACACACCACACTTTTACCAACTTATCACTAATTATGTTATTACTTTAGCAGTAATTTAATTACAATGATCTTAATGAAACATAATGACATTAATTGTCTAGTGTAAAAAACAAAAAGTAAAAACTTTTTAGATATTTGCACACAAGCTTGCGTGTTGACAAATATTTTAATGAAGAATGAGGTCAAGGGTTAATTTGTATAAGCCTACTGTGTGTAGTTTTTATTGAAGTAGCTCACTTTAGCTATTATAATCAATGTTTATTTTTGTGTGGCTCTATAGTGTAGGTTTAACTTATATAATATGTTCCTTGTCTATTACACATTAATATATGTAACTGTAAATATATATCATTCGATCAAACGTCATGGCAAGGCGATCTTTTACGAGTAGGGTTTCAATTTTACAAATACATCTTAAAGTACCAAACAAATCAATTAAAATATTTAAAGCGGGGGTAAAAATAATGCTGTGTGAAAACAGCTAATTTAGACCCATTACTTTTCTATTAATAGACGTAAATCTGACACGTAATGCTGGCTATATTATAGTCAGAGTGAAATACTCTCAACTCTTAGGAGGTAGAGATAGTTAATCTTTACATGGAAAGAATGACAACTTGTTGTCATATGTTATAGTTGGCTAAGTGGCCCTTAATATGCAAGAAAAGTTTTGATTTGATTTAAAATAATGGTAATTGATAGCTAGTTGTTAAAGTTGGTAAAGCTTCCATGGCGAGACAAACGGTCTCTTTTGTAGGTAAAAGTTTTAGTGAAGAATCCTTATTTTTTTTTACATATAAGGGCTGCGTCATTTAAATTAGATAATACATTTACACAGATGATAGTAACATATTCAAAACAGTCCACTCATACATTCGTATCGGGCAACTGAGGCTCGTTAGCTGGGACAGCAACTCTTCTAGGAGAGACAACTCCAACATTAAACAACTGCTGCCTTGTAGTCTGTTCTTGGTTGGACTAAGGCTATGGTAGCAAATCCAAAAAGAAAAGCAAGCTGAAATCGGAGTCAATAGCCTCAATGGCGCAAAACCAGTTGACACGTAGGCCTATCCTTAATTGTGATGTAAGCGTGGTCTAGTCGGCAAAGCTCATGGTTGTTAAATTCGAAACAGTCTCGAGTACAAACCTCTGGCAGATATCGATCCCTTCTAACACTAAAAATTAAGAACGAAGAAGAAGAAGAAGATACATTCGTAATTCTCTCTGGAAGTGTTAATTTTACAAAGAATTTACAACAAGTCAACATTATGTGTTTCACATTGATGAAGATAAAATTAAATTACAAAAGAAATAACCAAGCTTATATTCTCAAATGCCCTGTTCATATGCCAATGGACTCACATGCTTAATTTCGTTTCATAGATAGGCTTAAGAAATAAGATAGTGCTTCAAATTAAAGATTATTAGGAAGAAGAGTGAGTAATAACCGGAAAACCAAATTCATCGGGAAGTTTTTTTTACCACTAAAGTTAAAAATAGAAAAGTGTAGTCTGACACAACAGACCGCCATTTTAAAAACTTTACTTCGCAGCTGAAGGTAGTGTACACCATTCTCTGTGATTTCGGAAAAATCAACGTAGTCGTAAGCATAGCACTGCTGCCATATGTATTTGAATTAAAGTCTTAGAATGCATTCCCAAGGTTAAAAAAATTTGAATTATTTTTTTTAAATGTTCTTTGGTTTTATATCAGATTTCTCTTAGTTTCGGTGACCGATACTGCTTTTTTTTTTTACATTTTTTTTACTTTCTCTTATATACGAAGTATAGAGAAAGTATTGTAATCTTGCAAAAAAAAAAAATCGAGATTTTTACAAATCTCGATGTTTTACACCTCACTGATACGGAAAAACATAATTTTGCAATCTTGTCCGTATGTCTGTGTGTCTGTCTGTGTGTAAACACGATAACTTGAGTACCGTTACAGCTAGATTGATGAAATTTCATATATATATATATATATATATATATATATATATATATATATATATATATATATATATATATATATATATATATATATATATTATCAAACTCGTAGATCCTTACCAACTTTTGAGCGATTTCCGATAACCGGAAGTGGTACTTTTTCTACTTTGAATTTTTCAAAAGCCTATAACTTAAATACTATTTGAGATAGATAAATGGAATTTCACACGTAATTAAAAGATCTAATGTTCTACCTCATGTCAAATTTTGAGTAATTTCCGTTGACCGGAAGTACTAATTTACGCTATTTCCAATTTCTCAAAAAACGCATTTAAATTTATAAAGAATTAATAATATTGCGCACTATTATGCACATTTATTTGGCGTTCACTCACTTGGTGTGAAATTCTTTTTTCTACGAGACTTTATTCTATTTTAAAAACTTTAAGTATTTAAAATGGAGTTCCCATCCCCTGTTGTTTTATATAAGAATATTCGAGAGAGTTTAGGGGAGATCACGTCCGGTTTATTTCAAATTGAAAACATGACGTGTTATTCTTTTTTTTTTATATAAAATTTCCAAATACCGTCACTGGCGTGATAATGTAATTGCTTGCTTACGTTTACTATGACGTGAGGGGATAATCCCACCACGGCCCACGGTCGGCGGGGTCACTGTGAGTTCAGCAGGCCTACAGCATACGTCATAGATCTAAAATGAACACAACAGGTGCACGAGATCGTCTGTCTTAACTTCTCTGTCCCCCCCCCCCCCCCCCGAGCAAATTGAAAGTTTTTTAAAGTTCGCATGGATTAATATAGACTTAGATCCAGTGGCGTTGCTAGGTCGGGTGTCACCCATTGCGGCACTTTATGGTGTCACCCCCCAAGAAACACACACACACACACATATATATATATATATATATATATATATATATATATATATATATATATATATGTGTGTGTGTGTGTATGTGTATAAGCTTTAATCACTGCAGACATAAAAATGACGTTTATTTATATTCTATTAATAACATAGTTAGATGTAGCATTGTTTTCTCTATTGTTAAAACGTCTACGTCATCCCCTCCCTCTTGTAATAATTGTCGATTCGCACTTAAAAGATTATTTAACTGTAATTAATCATTAATGGAACAGTCAAAAACAAGTTTTCTTCCCTACATTTTGCATTTTTTTGCCATGGTGTCACCCCCCTAAATGGTGTAACCCGGTGCGTTCAGCAACCCCCGCCCCGCCCTCGCTAGATCTACTATCACGCATTGTAGATAGCTGTAAAAACTATTTACTAAAGGGCAGTTTGATTAAGCTAGATTGCTGCTAGACCTCTAGATCTAGATCTTGGACTATCATCTGACCCACTAATGACGAAACTGTATTTTTTTTTTACAAGGACTAGACTAGATCTAGATCTAGACTAGATTCTTAGGTGTTGAAATATAATGTCAACATTAAATATTAAATTGCTAACACGAAAAAAAAAATGGGCAGTCCTGAAATCTATTTTTTCGAAGATTCCAGATCTAGAATCTACTACCATACCAGGCTAGATAAGTCTAGATAGCAATAAAAACAATTTACTTAAGAACAGTTTGATCTAACTAGATATAGGACTATCATCGGACCTATCAAATCTAGATTCTATTTTTTTTTAAATAAAATTTTAAACATTGAATTGATGAGACGAAACAGAATCGGAAAGTCCTGATATCTATTTTTAGATTGAGTGTTCCCTAGGGTGAAGATTAAGCGTCACGCTCAGCGAACCGCGCAAATGCGGCCATCATCTAAACTAGATTCTAATTTTAAATTTTAAAATCTAGATTAATGATTCGATTATTAGATATAGAATCTATAGGCAATAGGTCTACTTCCTGATTTGAATCCAGTTTAGAACTTCTGTTTACGGGAGAGTCAAATAAAACTGTGGGGGTTAAAATTAAGATGCAGAATTCGACCAATACTACCTAGAATCTAGATTTAGAATAATTAATGCAAAATTAATGCAAAGACTATAAACATGGAAGTAAGTAGATCTACATTTAAGTAAATTAGGCTATAACAAATAATAGATCTAGCAGGTGTACCATTTTTATGCAGCAAATAAATATCTTTATTCAGTATGAAGTCTAATTCTAATCAAAATGGCTATTCACAAATGTGAATAGCCGTATCAGGGCTATTCACATTCGTGACCGTTTTTGCTATATATAATGTTAAAAATAACCAGTTTGGGCATGAAGATGTGTGGTCGAATGGCCGTCGTGCCGGAAGGTAGGTGCGGATTCAAACCCATCTTTTTTTCGTTTGTGACGTAATTGTTGGCATATAAGCAAAAGAAAACAATTATCTGTCCCGTATATTTATACTGTGAATTATAGCTGATGAAATGACATCATATTTCACCTGATATTTATTTTGTGTGATAATGTAAAATTTTAATGGTAATAGATGACCTCCGTAGCATGTAGCAGATATGTCTTATGTGTCTAAAAGCTAACAACTAAACTTTATCCACTATAACTTTTTATAAAACATATACACAATACAAAATAGTAGTACTGCTCTCTTAATTAATCTTTACCACACTCCCCAGTCACAATAAACGATTTTATTATTGTAAGATATTATTTACAGTCGTATTTAGCATGATATGACAGCCGACTGTGAATATCTGTATTAGAGCTATTCACAGTCGGCTGGGAATAGCCCCAATACAGATATTCCCAAGCGGCTGGGAATAGCCTTGGCCAATTCTAATCCCAATATTTTTGTGCTAATAGGTAATTTTACAATGTAGATTCTTGTATTTTAGCCTAACTTAAAAAAACAAATTAATGCATTAAAGTGTGAATGAAGACAATTTTGGGATTTATAGTGGTGTATTTTCAATTTTTATATTCATTTTTGGTTTCAATAATTAACTGTGCTATAGGGCTGTAAATAAGTAGATCTACACAAATATGCATATATCTGATGGACAAATTGACTCTCTTTCAAAAGTTATTCTTCATTCATTTGATTATGCCTTCGTAAAATTTGAAATACTAACAATTTTTATGTGACCACTATTATTGAATGCACATGCTCTATGATATTTTTATGTTTTTATTTATTTTATTTTTTTAAGTTCATAATAATTAGGCAATCTATCCACAGTAGCTGTTGAGCATTTACATCTTTATAGAATAATTGTTTAAACAAGCTGCAGTTTCTGCAGACTTAGTGCAGATGTTTTAGTTGCTATTTCCAATGTTTAAATAAAATACTTGATATAGGTATTAAATAAAGTGGAGGAAAATTAACTGTAAACAAGTGATAAGGATATTAAGACTTTATGGTTTACAAAAAACATTTACAGTTAAACTCAATATTGATTAGCTGAGAATCAACTGAAATATATTTTTCTGGCTTCACACTTCAAACTATTATGAAAATAAATTATCTTTTGAAAATCATTGATCCTCATTAATTCCAGCAAAATAATTTAATGCATTTGTTTCCAAGGTTTAGTGGACAGTTGAGAGTGACAGCTAGTGGAAATACCAACTTTTGTATAAAAGTTAATAAGGTAATTTAAATAAGTTAACTGCACTTTTAAGGTCTCATTTTCAAATATAAGTTATTTATCAGAAAAATAAATATTTGAAAATAAAAAATAATTACAATTATTAACATGATTATTGGAAGCTAATATGTAATAAATAATAAGGTGATATTTGCTATTTTTATAGCCAAAATATTATCAACAATGTTTTTATTTGTGGTAAACATCTTATATAGCTTTTTCACTAATAAGAAATAAACATATTTTAACTTCCTACATGTTTCTCATACTAATCAAACTTTAATATGCTGATATAATTTAATTCTAAACATTCTTATTTTTTTTCAAATTCTTTATTAGTGCGCTTATTAAGCCGTAGTTACTATTTTATATTAATGATCTATATTCATACCCACAGTAACACAAACCATGGAAAAAACAAACAAACTGAGAAAAAGAAAATTGGAGCCACCACGTATGTCAGAAGGTACAGCCAGATGAATTATTCATTTTACCAAATCTTTAAAAACCAAAAAAAAAAGCAAAATTATAAACTATTTTGGCATTTCTAAAACTGCAAATACTTTAAAATCCATTCCTTAATAACCTACATGTGATATCTGTAAATGTAAAAGTTAATTGAAAATACCCAATGATTTCTATAAACATAAATTTTCGAATATTGTGTCTAACTGACTATGAACTTTGAGAGTGTATCAATCACGCTGTAAGAGTTTATCTCAGTAATGCCACATTTCTTGTCACTGTAATTATAAAAAAATGTATGTTTTAATTTCTTATTTTCTTATTTTAGATGTGCCACACTGTGAGAGTCCAAGTAAAGTTTTCAAAAGTGACCAAACAGGTGTCTTTATTCCTGGTAAGATATGACAAACATAAGGCAACTCTAGTCTAAACAATTTTAGTCAAAACTATTATAAATATGTGCTAGTGAAAACATAAAGATGACTTTATTACAGTAAATGTATAGTTGATTAAAGGAAGGACATAAAAGTTTAATTTATATCGATATCAGCCTGCTAAATCAAATGTTAGTGTAACTTAGTATAGCTAATCAAAATAAATAATAGGTGCATTTTATATCAGCGTGTAGTTTTTTTATGCTGTCTAAATAATCTGTTTCCCCTATTTCTATAGGAAATCATGAAGCTGAGATGTGCTATGGAGGAGAAGCTGATCTACACAAACATGTTACTGGCTGTAAGAAGAATCCAGGTCACAAAGGTTTTATACCTCTTAAAGATTTCAAATCGAATTGTCTCCCCTCACGTTACCATGACGACAAGATCGTGTCTAAGACAATCAAAACATTAGCAGCCCTAACTGTCCAGGTAAAGACCAAATTCACCAGTCTAGAGAGACCAGAGTTTTACCCAGGCACTCAAGTTCCATATCCATGTTATAATGACAGAGGAAGTCACGTGATGAGGTTAGGGACGGGGAGGGTTTGGGATGTGGACAAGTACACAGAGAGTGACGGTGACGAAATTTGTCGTTGTGCCAAGTGTCACGTCTCTGCCACACCCAGCAAAGTGTGGGGGGAGGTTCGTGTATTGACAGCTACACACGTAGTGTTTGATGACAGTGAGGCGAGACAGACCAGGTGTGTTTTAGGTTTTGATGACAATAAAAGTCGAGTGGTCAGTCTTGATGGCTGGGAGGTGGAGGGTGGGACAGACATTGAAGGAGACGTATGTGAGTTGACATATGTGACATGTGATTTAAATTTGATTGATGAACTCGACAAGATGTGTGGTTGCTTTTATGATCTACATGAGGAAGTAAACGACAAATATAGGAGATTTGATGATGTGGACAATTTGACCGTTATAGTGTCACATCCTCATGGCTGTCCTAAACAGGTCTCTGTAGGACAATGGACACGCAAACGTGAGAGGGAAGAGAAACCGATTACGTACACCAGGTACTGGTACACAACATGTACATGTCCAGGCTCCAGTGGAGCGACTGTCTTCAGGCTAGATTATGACAGGTTGTTGTACACTCCCCACAGTGGATCAAACTCTGAAGGAAATTATAGTGGGGAGCATGTGTGCTGATGTAACTGTTATTTCTCTCCCCTTGTCTACACTATGTAAACAAACAAAATGGCGCAACCTTTCCGTCATTAAACTTTGTGCTAACACTTGCATGGCTTTTAAAATTGTTATTACCTTTAAATGATTAAAACAAATGTTTTGATTGATTTGAACCGTTTAACCGTTATAATTTGCATGTACCATACTGTATTCTACGCATTTTAAATGTTTTATGTTTTAAATGTTTTCTCTGTAACAAATGTCGGTGAAATGGTTGTTCTATGCTTTGCAACTTTACATATTAACCCTTTATTTACGGAATTATGTTCTGAATGAGATTTTTACTTAAACAATGTGTTACTATATTGCTTTTGGCACATTCAAAGCATATATCGAAGGAAATTTCGTTTCATAAATTTTTAATGACCCAAACAGATATTGGTACTTATAAGTACCGTCAGTAAACTAGGACATTTTTTTTCAAAAAATTTTTTTTTACAAAACAGGAACAAACGATACAATTTATTAACTAATAACATGGCAATCATTATAACAATCACTTTTTGTAATTTTCACACATAAATACAGCACAAAAGTATATTTTGAGTACGATTTTTACTGGATTTTCTATCGGAACACATCTTAGACCTCAAACACAGCAAAAGTTGTCAACATGTCATGCTCCCTCAATCTTGTCTGTGGTCTTTCTAGTGTTGCAACGGTTGCCGGAATGAATATGCTTTTGCTGGAAGCTTCCAATAACTAGTACAATGAGCCGCATAAACAAACAAAAGCCTAGTCATTCAGCACACAACTACTAGAAATACTAATATAATTGTAGCCTACTATAATGTTATGACAAGTCTACACTACAGTGCAAAGTTCATAAATAGAAGTGAGCTCAATGTGTTTTGGAAGAAGTAGTGGATTACTCTTTTCTGTTTACTTATTAAAATTTACCTTATAGATCTATACTATATGCAGAAGTATGGACTATTACTAGTCTACAGGTATACATTATGTAAATGCTAGTTGTTGTAGGCAAGACAGTTCATTGCAGTAAATATAACTAACAAATTAAATCTTACAACCTGAACTAGGCTTTGGTATACAAATGAAGTATACTAAACCTTATAAACGAGCCTGCAATTGATACCGTTATTCTTGTTATTTTTTTACTACTAGAAATGAACATGTAATTACAATATTTCTTAGGTAAACCATATGCAAACCTTCTTATAAATGTGTAAATATCATTTTTTTGAGTACATTTCGATAAGTAATTATCAAGACAATATTTATGTAACTCCACCTAACAAATCTGCAATTTTCTAAAAATCCTAAAAAAAATTACCGTGTGCCCAGACGGTACTTATAAGTCCACTTGTAAACATCGATCTAATACAAAGACAATATGATTAAAATTGTATAACTAGAAGTTAAACGCGTTTGCCTGACTATTGAAGGTGCCAATAAAAAATATTTGGGGTTGAAAACTTGAAAAATAAGGTAGAACAAAAGGAAATCAGGAACGGGTGTGAGAAATGTACAGAAAAATTGTGAACTACCGATATAGCAAGACATTGAAAAAGCGCCACACCATTAATTTTTTTAAAAACAATGATACCTCCAACTACCGGCGACTCAGGGGAGATAATACTATAAAATACATCAATAATTTTTAAAATTCGTATTTAATTTAATATAATACAGGTACTTAATTAAAGTGGTACTTATAAGTACCGTCAGTAGATAAAGGGTTAAATGTATCGCTCTTATCCTTTTTTTTACAAATTAATTACGTACTAAAAAATAAAATGCCCAAGATAAAACTACTTTGTTCTGTGTTTTATAGACAAATTAGTATGTTGGCTAATTATAAAATGTTCAAATTGTTGTTAAATAACTTTTGTTACGGATGTCGATATTTTGGTCAGGCTGGTGGTGGTTTTAAAACAGTCCCACTTCATTGTAACCACAAAGCTGACATGTGGCCTATATAAAAATAAATACATGTCTAGAAATGATCAATTTCAATAAAATGAAGTTCAAATAAACAAGGAGACAAGTTATTGTATACGCTATCAAGTGTCCATACCGCTTGGTTTCTTTGTGACAAAACAATGCATTTTAAAGTTTACAACTTATATTTTAAACGAAACTTTAGCACGTTTTTCTTTGCCGCCCACGAATTAAGCTTAATGTCCAGGCCAGCCTAAGAAGATTTTACAGGCCTGCTTGGGAATTCAAGACAATATCTATCAAGATGCAGACAATAGACACAGCTCTATCAGAAAATGAGAAAGACGTTAGACTCGATTTAACGCGTTCATATATTCATAATATCTTCTACGTAAAACAAAATACGACCGCCTCCGTGTGCTATTATTACCTACACTGTCGGTCTGCTAGTTTTAACTAAATTGTCTGATATTGTCACCTACACTATCTGTTTACAATTAAACAACCTGTAAACCCATGCCATCTGGCTGCAAAGCTCAAATACAATATTTACAAACAAAGGGTTCATCCATGAATGACGTCACGCTTTTTTGACGATTTTTACCTCCCCCCTCCCGTACGTCACGTCGGCACAAAAAGCCAGACCCCCCCCCCCCGCCATAAAATGACGTCATACCACAGCCTAACCCCCCCCCCCCCCCCCCCTCAAAATTGCTGTTGAATTTTTCTTAAAACATCAATATTTTTCAAAATCTTGTCACTCTGTCAGCATAGAGTATTTTAATCAAGTCATACTACAATTTATTAAAACCGTTTTCTAAAACTCGAAATAACGGCTAAAACTCGTTTTCTAAAATTGCTTTTTTTTAAATAAAATAAAAAAGTGACGTCACACCGTCTGAACTCCACTCCCCCTCATCACACACCGTCACAAAATTCAGGACACTCCTCCCCTCTACGAGTGTGACGTCATTTATGGACGACCCCCAAAGACAGCTTTTGTTGGTTTATCTTAAAGCTGATATTAACCCTTGTGTAGTTGTTAATTATAACTTGCCATAGAATCGATCGTTTTATATTAACTTACCAAGCACTTACAATTTATAATATATTGTAAAAAGTTATATTTAAATATATGTGTTGAAGCTGGAAGTAGTAACTTAGTTTAATGAGTCACGTTTATTAAAAAAAAATCAAAAATCTTACAACTACATCCCCCCATAAGTACTAAACGCAGACACTTAATCATATAAATTTTGTATCTTAATCTAATAACTACGAATATATTATTAATTTGGTCTTAAACTTAACTCATAGATAACAGACCTAAATCATACTAGTTGATCTTACTTAAAAACAAGTATGACATATTATTTTTGCTTTAGCGTATATTAAATACTAGCCATCGGTATCCGTTTCACGTGAATTATAGGCCTATATATTTTAAAATGTACTGATTAAGTGACTTAAATGATTCCGTTAAAAATCTAGCTATTAAGTAGTCATTACGTTGTTTTTAAGTAATTTGTATTAGTTTGACCGATACAATTGTATATATTTCTTAGCGTACGTCTTGATGAGTAGATCTATACATCTAGATCTAAATCAAATTTGAATGAAGTAGTTCCTTTCTTTATAGTCTAAAATCGGAAGATTCACATTTAAAAAAATAATTAAAAATTAAGTTTGACTTGGTGTGTCTCTATCGCTCACCACCTGCGTGGTATTAAGTACACTATCATCACAGCTATTAATGCACCTTATAAATCACGGAGAATGAAAGACGTATCCAAAAAAAACTAAACTTACGTGAATATGCCTATTCTTTCAAATTAGTTTTTGTAACCCAAATTAGCCAGTTCCATACTATTATAAGTTTAGGCCGGAAAATTTGTATTGTATACATTGCATAGCGTACGTAGATCTAAATCAAATTTTAATTAAATAAATCGTTTCTGTTTATTCTAACACGGCAGATGACGTCATAATTTAATATATAAACATTAGTGACGTCACTGTTTTATGCGTTCTTTTTCACCACTATAAACGCTTTTCCTGTTGTATAATTAAAACTGTTTTTCTACATTCGAATAAGCCTTTATTTTTTATTTTTCTTCTTTAAATAAAATTGTGGTTATACATTTAAAACATCTACCATATTATTTTCAACAAAAGTCCGTATAAAGTTCTCCATATATCGCTGCAGATTCTGATGTGATATCCGGCGAAAATATTTTGCGAACAGAGAGAGAGAGAGAGAGAGAGAGAGAGAGAGAGAGAGAGAGATAGAGAGAAGTGCGCACGTGGGATTTTATATATTAGGATGACTATATTTTATTTTTATAAAACTTTAACTGCTTAATATTTTCTCTCAGAATTATTAAATCTTACTTGTGATACAGGCAGTGGCGGATTAAGTGGAGTGCTGAGAAGGCTGCAGCCAGGGCCCCCGATTTTTAGGGGCCCCCAAATTTCCTTTTTCAATCATAGTAAATTTCCCTTTAAAGTGAAATTTTTTGACTTTTTTGTTTACTGTAAAAGCCAATGTTTTAATGTTTGAATCACAAGTTTATTTCAATTTTTGTTCAAAATAGCAAACTCGAGCACACAATTTAGAATAAATACCAGCCTGGACAGCGTTCGCTTATGACAATGAATTGGGCTGATTTTAGAGTTAAAAAAAACCAACAACGGTCGAATTCTGACACATAAATGACATGAATATGGTGTGAACACTCTATGATTTAAACTTTTAAAAACACTTATTGGCCTTTACTTTAATTTAATGTTAATATCGGGTGTACAGGCCAAGGATCACGTTTTTTAAATGGACGCCTGTGGAAATCCAACTTTTTGTCGGCCTCATAAACGGATGGCACCTCAAAGGATGGAGGTGTGGTTTTTTTACGCTTATGCTGTGATTACTGTTTAAGATGGGTCTAGTTTAACCTCTGTATGTTATTAATAATTTCCTACATATAGTGGCTTGAAATTCCCTTTTTACTTTCTCGTATATACGAAGTATAGAGAAAGTATTGTAATCGTGCACAAAAATCAATTGAAATTTTAACAATCGTCACCGTACTACACCTCAGTCCTTCATCACATCCGAAGTATAGAGGACTTATTTTAATCGGGCAAAAGTTATCAATCCAGATTTATCAAAATTAAGAGGTTTTATGCGTAATCCAGTTTGAAAAACTGGGCTTTGCAATTCTGTCCGTATGCCTGTGTGTCTGTCTGTCTGTCCGTGTGTAAAAAACACGATAACTTGAGTACCGTTACAGCTAGGTTGATGAAATTTCATATATAAGTATTTTATCAAAATCGTAGATCCGTATCAACTTTTGAGCGATTTCCAATAACCGGAAGTGGTATTTTTTCTACTTTGAATTTTTTAAAGCCTATTACTTGAGTACTATTTCAGATAGATAAATGAAAGTTCACATGTAAGTGAAAGATCTAATTCTCTACCTTCTGTTAAATTTTGAGTAATTTCCGTTGACCGGAAGTAGTAATTTACGCTACTTCCGATTTCTCAAAAAAATAATGTAAATTTTTAAAGTACTAATAATATTGCGCACTATTATGCACTTTTTTATTTGGCGTTCACTTGGTGTGCAATTCTTTGTCTACGAGATTTTATTCTATTTTTAAAACTTTAAGTATTTAAAATGGATTAAAAATCATGTCTATAGCCCGAGTTCCCATCCCCTATTGTTTTACATAAGAATATTCGAGAAAGTTTAGGGAAGATCACTCCCGATTTATTTCTCTTCGCGTCTGCAAGCAAACACGTGCCAACAGTCTTTAGCGTCTGCTCTATAACGACATTATAATATTCTCATAAATATTTATATTTGTTCAATGTTAGTCTGCATTTCCAGCTTTCTCACGACCAATATAAATTGTTGAATGACTGTTAAATAACTATCGTGACACGGATATACCGGCAAGAGGTTTGACTCCCATTTGCCA